CTGTAGTCCGTCTTTGTCGTGTCTGGTCCGGTCTGTCTTCCTTTGCATCAGTTCGAGTCAAGCCAAAGTGTGTATTGTTCTGGAATTCCTGACGTGGGGCCAGATCACAGCGAGCAAAAGCTCGAGCCCGCGATAGCGGATGTAGACGCTGACTCTGCACGACTCTGAATGCATAGGTCGAATCATCACCACAGGTCAGGTTTCATTCTGATTGAGCCGATGCCATCATCAGGATGCAGCCAGTGCTTTGCGGACGACGTTCTGTGAGCGAGATTATAGAGGGTTGCTGGGGATGGGGCTTAGGCAACGCGACTCAGGCTGCGCCACAGCTGTCTTCCCTAATTACAGCCAGCTACGGCATACCCTATCATGCCGCAAGCCCCACTCCAGCTTACTACTCCTTTCGCTGCCTTCCAGCACCATGCACCGGTGCCACATAAGAAGAAGAAGCGCTCCACTTCCACTTCCTCCTCTTCTTCAGCATCTTCCACGTCGACTAATGCACTACGACGCAAATTGCGTCGAAGGGAGAAGGCCTCCCACAGCGTCCAGCTCCAAGCGCAAGCTTGCCTCCTCCAAGCACCGCGCTCGGACCTCCAGATCCGAGCGCCGCTCTCCTTCACACCGTGGACATAAAAGGTCAGGTCAGGTTTCTTCCAGCCCGAAGAAAGCAAAAGATCGTCATTCAGGTCGCAGAGGCAGGGACAGCCGTTCCCGGGACACCTGGCACCATTATCGTGCTAGCGTTGCTTCTAGGTCCAAACAGGTTAACAGACGCGACCGCAGCCGGACACGCGCACATGTTGCACTGGCACCTGGACCAGGCGACAATACGCCACACCCTCCGCCCATGCCTCCTGTGGCACATCCGCAGCAGTTCAGGCCACATGCCCCTCATCTGTCGCCTCAGGCTCCACTATCATGCGTCACAGCCTGCACCGTGGACAGTGTACAACACGGCCACATACGGCGTGCCGCCTACACCGCCACTTGCACCCCGTGGCAAGCCTCCTTACTCAGGCCAGCAGGGGCACCAGCCTCAGTTTCAATCCCGACGTCAGGGCTACCGTGCCGCTTGGAATTCCAAACGGCAAGAGGCGGCGGCGGCAGCTGATTCTCCAAATCGCATCAAGGCAGCAGCCGAGCTCCTGCCGGACGAGCAGCCAAAGCTCGACGCAGTGGACGTCGATGAGCAAGAAAACCTTGCTATGCCGACCAGCCTTGCCCGCGAACTCGCACACATGTCGTTGGCATCCGGACTAGCCTCCATCTCCTCGCCTTGTTCAAATTCAGGCCTGCGGGTTCCTTCCAGTGCCACTTCTTCCCTGTGACCACTCCACCGGTGCCAACCTTCCGGCAAACCGGATCACATGCGCCGGGATACCGGTGCAGCTTCGTATGGTGCCACGGGACAGATATCCCCACGGCTGCATCCATTTTTAAGGAACTCCAAGTTCGTCCAACCATGCCGGGGAACGGAATCAACAAAGGTTCCGAAGTGGACTTCCCCGCCGCTGCCTTTTACTGCCAGGCTGCAGTTGGGTGGCCAAAGAGCTACGGATCTCCA